GTTCGAGCTCCCTGCTTAATTTCTAGAGATCCGGTATTAATCTTCACCTTTCAGTCCTTCAATTAATTACCTATGATTGCTAATACGGTGATCAAGCGAATCAACAAAATTAAAACACTAGAAATCAAGTTCAAAGATTTAAACTTTCACCAAGAACCTATATCAATTCATCATCAATCACCAAAAAGTTGGGTTCTTTCCCAATCCTAGACAAGAAATCTACTCACACATGATTGGAATAAGAGAAGACATCAAATAATTATGCAAATCAATCATAAGAAGAAATAAATCAAAGAGAGGAAAGAATTAACCCGTCTTTCAATTGAAATCTTCAAAATAAGAACTTGCAATCCAATCTTCTACAAGAGATTAATGTCTTCCTTCAATACTTGAACCCTAGAATAGTTGCTAGTTGATGGCTAAAAGAACATAACAAAAGATATCCAAAACCCTAAGTCAAAACATCTATTTATATGTCCCCAAAAATCTGAAAATTAACTAATTCCCGCGCCACCGGTGTGGTCTGCACCACACCAGGGTGTGGTAGGGGCTGTTTTGCTGATTTCGTGCTTGTTTCTTCAGTTTTCGGTATTTTGGCTATAACTTTTGCGTCCGACCTCGGAATAAGGTGATTCAAGTTGCATTGGAATCCTGTTGAAGAGATCTACAACTTTCATCTTTTGAGTTTTTCTTGATTCGAACTGCATCATGATCGAAATTCCAGTTCTTCATATTCGTGCATCTATTTTCTTCACGATCCATATCTTCGAAATCTTGTTGTTGCTTCAAACTCTTGTAAAACTTCCAACGATCATCAAATCTTTCAATCTTGAGCCAATACCTACATATAAGAACACAAACCACAGCAGTATCCTCGATCTAAACACGAAATATGCATTAAACACTCGTAAATCATGCTTGAAACACACTAAGATAATGCATATTTTACGTGTTTATCAACTCCCCCAAGCTTAGACTTTTGCTTGTCCTCAAGCAAATAGACAATAAAGAAAATAGGAGGAGTGGAAGCCAAATAGAATAGGGATCACCCCCTCATCAATCCTTTAACCAATATCAAATATCACAAAACAAATACTTTTCATCGGGACTTAACAAATTAATTTCCAAAACTCTCAACAATATCACATTTCAAAATTTATTTATGATCACAAGCGTCACAAGTCAAGGATAGCCATCCTATCCAATTCTCAAGTCAAAGTAGGAAAAAGAAATTCATGTAACTAGCTTCAATCCCAAAGAACTAAAATTGAGGCCTTCAGGTAGCTAAATTGGTAGACCTCACTTTAGGATAAGTGGACTCTCAATCTCTCATGTATTTAAGGATGGGATTGTATCGCTCAAAATTCTTCCGAATGGATGTATTCAATCCATAAGCTTGCATTTCATCTCAATTCTCCACCACTTCGAAAACTAATGCATGCAACAAAATCATGAGGTCTTTTATTGGTTGTAACGGGGCTAGGGTCAAAAGGTAGGATATATATTTGGAATTGGTTGAAAGCCTATCACTAGTGGAGCTATGATTGCAAAAGATTAGATCTCAAAGTAAGATCAATGACATCTACACAAACTCCATCATATATCAAAGAACTTCTTCCAACTACTCCTTTTAGTATGCCATAATGAATTCTTTCGACACCCGCAATTACATACACCATAAAGATGATAACTTTATTCATCTTTTTTTTCTGCAGTTTTTTTTCTTTTTTTTCGAAAGAATTATGAAAAGGGAAGCAAACGCCTACTTTCACACCCCCAAGCTTACACCACATTACTCACATAACCCATTGTATCATAAAATGTGCTCCACTAGCTTAGGCAATGGGTAAGGAATAAAATCGGATTTTGAAGGTTACATATGTGGGTTTAATCAACAAAAATTAAGCTCATAGGCTCAAGGGGGCTAATCAAGGGAACAATAGTGCATGGTAGGCTATTTGGCAAATGTGGACTATAAACAAAAATGTGCCTCAATCACCTTTTATGCATACAAAAGTTATATGTGGCCTTGAAGAGATTCAATGCAAGTTCTAGTATCCTACACCATTGGAGAATATCACACAAGCAAAGAAAATAATGATTGGATATGCAATGCATCCAATTTTCAGGCTCAAAATCTCACGGGTTTTATTTGTCTACCAAATTTAATTCCCCTCTTGTCTCAATAGAGTAATGGTTATGACGCTAGCCGCATAAATGCTAAATCCTATAAGACAAGAGAACATTCAAGTCCGGTTCTCCCATATTGTTAACTTGCAATCAAAAGCATTTTAGAATCAATTGAAAGATGGTATAAGAAGTTGTCAAGTCCCAATTAATGAGCATCTATCTAGTTCAATGATCGATAAAGGTTAAGCATTCATGTCATCATCAGGAGATCATTTCCCTAATTGTTTTTGTTTTCGTTTTTTTTGAATTAAGAAACAATAAGAAGTTGTCAAGTCCCAATTAATGAGCATCTATCTAGTTCAATGATCGATAAAGGTTAAGTATTCATGTCATCATCAGGAGATCATTTCCCTAATTGTTTTTGTTTTTTTTTGTTTTTTTTTTGAATTAATAAACAAAGCAAAAGAAAAACTAAAATAAAAGAAAAATAGGCAATTATAGACAGGCAATCAATGCATGAACAACCCACACCCCCAAGCTTAAGATCGACATTGTCCTCAATGTAAAAAGATAGAAATTAGTGCAAGGGTGCAGAGGACATACCAACTCGCTGGTCAGAAGGAGGCGGCGCTGAGGCATCCTGTCGGACATGTCGCTCGTGAAAAGACTGCATCATGTAGTGTATAGAGTCCAGTAGTTGTCCTTGACGTTGTTGCTCTTGCTCGATGGCACCTACACGGTTAGTAAGAGAGGCAAGAGAAATATGGATAGCTGATAATTCCGCTGACCAATCAGGGTGATGGAAAGAGTTAGTTCCCCTGGTAGGCTCAGCCTGAATAGGGATCGGGGGTACCGTGTCAGCATCCTCAGCTGGTACAACCTCATGACCATCACAAATCACAAAATCAGATGTTAGGTAGGACCAATTGGCGTGAACATGGATGGTCGTGCGATCAGGATCAGGGAGTGGGAAAAGATAATTATCCTGAAAACATAACCATAACCTATTGCCCTTATTACTAATCAATTTCATATGTAGACAAGCATCGAGGTTAAAGGACGCACTAGGACTTAAAGGATGAAGCCTTTCTACAAATTCTCCTAAACCCATCCCGTAAGCTAAAGTGGTAATCAAGCCACCAAAAATAATTTTTCCGCTCGTTGCTCTCGCTGCACGACACATATGATGAATCATAAAAGCGCCTGTGTCAACCTTATGTCCCTCAACCATGGCACATAAAAAGTAGAGTTCTCTCTGACACATGATTCCATCACTCTCGCCTCGACCGAAAATGGTAAAAGCCATGAACCTCTGTAAATATCTAAAGCATGGGTTATAAACAGCAGAGGCTCGTGACAAGGAGGGATCATAAGGTCTTTGAGTGGTAGAGCGTGCGATTGAAGTCCAAAATGGGATCAAGTTAAAGTTTTTAGGAACAATTCTAGCCCCACCCTCCGGAAAACCAAATATCTGATTTAATTGTGCTAATGTAAGTGTGTGAGACTGGTTAAATAGCCTAAAAGTGATTTTCCCTTCCTTTACACCCTCACCATTAAATAAAACAGCATCAAGAGAGCTCAAAAATTCGAGAGTAATACGCTCATACGTGTGGTGTTTAGCCTCAACAAAATTTAACCAACCAACCCGTCTTAGGAGGTATGAAACATCATCCCACAGCCCTAACTCACGCAAACAATTTTCATCCAAATAACGGGTACTCAGAATTCCCCGTTTAACCAATGTATTATATCTATATTGTTGCTGTGCATTGACAAATTCTATACCATGAGGATTTTGGGGAGGAGGAGAGTTACCTTTGCGTCGTCGTGCTGTAGAAATTGAAGCACCCTGACTAATCCGTCCGCGCTTAGGTCCCATGTAGTGTTCCGAAAGGGAATTGACAGCAGTTCGACGGTCGGCATTAGGGAGATGAGCAGGGGGCGTTTGCGGATCTGGGTCGGCGGTTCGCTGATCGGAGAGGGTTTGGTCGGATATGGTGAAGGATGGTGATTAAGGAAGGGGGCGGTGTTGAATCTGGTCGAAGAGGGGTTTGGGGGTGGTCGGTTGCTGGAGGTCGAAGAGTGGAGGCGGCGGTGGAGCGGCCGCTGATGTTGGATGTGAGTGAAGGGTGTCGCTGATCGAAGATGGTGAAGGATGGTACGGGGTCGCTGTGTTGGATGAGGGGCGGGTCGCTGTGATGACGGTGTGGATGAGAGAGGTGGCGCCGAGCTTAGCTTGAGCGGTGGCAGCCGGTCGGCAGAGCGGCGGAGAAGAGAGGGAGTCGGTTGTGGAGTGCGGCGGTGAGAATTGACTGAAGGATGGCGGGCGTTGCTTGGTCGAGATGTGAATGATGGAGGAGGCGATGATGATTGTGGTGCTGTGAGGAAGGGTACAACTTACACATAACCGGAGGTCAGAGAATTGAAAGGGTCTGGGGTTTGGAACGAAAGAGAAAGGGAGTTTTTTTTCGGTTGTTTTTAGGCCACGGGTGATGGCTCTGGGTGTGGTAGCCTCTGAAAATTGCTTACCATGCTAGACATGGCGGGGTGTGGGCTCTGAAATTTTTTTTGTGGACCGTGGGTGTGGTGTACACCACCCTTGGGTGTGGTAGGCTCTGCCACTCCATCTTTAACTCCTTTTTCTGCAGTTTTTTTTCAATGTCTTCATTTCTTCACAACTGCATGATCAAAAATATTATAAGTTAAATTTGTGCCGATCCAATTGCCTAAAAAAATAAAATAAAATAAAAATAAAAATAAATAAAATTAAAATTAAAATGAAATAAAATAAGATAAATAAAATAGATGAAAACTTGGGTTGCCTCCCAAGAAGTGCTCGTTTATAGTCATGAGCTCGACCCCTTTTGCGCTCAATTCTCTGACGAAGGGGGATCGGAAAGGGTATAAGTGACACCTTTCTCGTGTTGTTCCCCTACAATATAATGCTTCAATCGTTGCCCATTCACCTTGAAAGATCTCGTTGTTTCACTCCAAACTTCAACAACTCCACTAGGAAAAACCTCACGGACTTAAAAAGGTCCGGACCACCGAGATTTGAGTTTGCCCGGAAAAAGCTTCAAACGAGAGTTGAAAAGTAGCACCATATCTCCTTGATTAAACTCTCTTCGAAGAATATTCTTGTCGTGCCATCGTTTAGTCCTTTCTTTATAAATGCGAGCATTCTCATACGAATCCAAACGCAGCTCATCTAGCTCATGAAGTTGAAGCTTTCTTTTCTCACCTGCGGTCTTCATATCAAAATTTAGGAGTTTGATAGCCCAATATGCCTTGTGCTCTAACTCAACTGGGAGGTGACACGATTTGTCATATACCAATTTGAATGGTGTCATACCTATGGGCGTTTTGTATGCAGTTCGATAGGCCCATAAAGCATCTGTGAGTTTCATAGACCAATCCTTTCTTGAACGATTAACTGTTTTCTCCAAAATACTCTTAATTTCACGATTCGAAACTTCCACTTGACCACTAGTTTGAGGATGATATGGCGTGGCAACTTTATGAGTGACCCCATATTGTCTTAAGAGAGCTTCGAATTTTCTTTCTATGAAGTGTGAACCGCCATCACTGATTATCGTCCGTGGCACCCCAAATCTTGGAAAAATAACGTTCTTTAATAGTTTCACAACAACTTTAGCATCGTTGGTGGGGGATGCTATCGATTCTACCCACTTGGAGACGTAGTCCACCGCCACTAAAATGAACTTGTTGTTACACGATGACGGAAACGGTCCCATGAAATCTATGCCCCACACATCAAAGACTTCAATTTCCAAGATGGAGTGTAAAGGCATCTCATGTCGCTTCGAAATATTCCCGGTCCTCTGACAACTATCACAAGATATCTGTATCCCAGAAAAGACTCGGCCAATAGAAACCTGATTGTAGAACTTTTGCAACTGTCTTTGAAGTGCTTGCATGTCCTCCGTAGGAAGATGAGTGGCAATGATGGAGAATACTGGCAACCTCATCTTCAGGAATACACCTTCTGAACATCCCATCAACACACCGTTTGTATAGAAACGGTTCATCCCAAAAATAATACTTCAAGTCAGCAAAGAACTTCTTCTTCTGTTGATAGCTCAGATCCGGAGGCAAGACTCCACACACTATGTAATTGACGAAGTCCGCATACCATGGTGCATCCAATCTTTCAATGGCTAACAACTGATCATCTGGGAAAGAGTCATCGATCGGTAGTTCATCCTCCTCCTTATCATGTGATTCTTGCTTCATCCTCGACAAATGGTCTGCCACCAAATTTTCCGTCCCTTTCTTGTCCTTGATCTCTAGGTCAAATTCTTGCAAAAGTAGTATCCATCGGATCAACCTAGGCTTGGCATCTTGCTTGCTCAAAAGATATTTGATGGCGGAGTGGTCGGTATAAACGATGACTTTGGACCCCACTAAGTAAGACCTGAACTTGTCAAAGGCGAATACAACTGCTAATAGCTCCTTTTCAGTGGTAGCGTAGTTAACTTGGGCTTCATCAAGAGTGCGACTAGCATAATAAATTGCATGAACTATCTTGTTCTTCCTTTGGCCCAACACAGCACCAACCGCATAATCACTTGCATCAGTCATGACTTCAAATGGGAGATTCCAGTCCGGCGGTTGCATAATAGGAGCTGTTATCAATGCTTCTTTCAACCTGCAAAAAGCATCAAGACATTCATCAGTGAAATCAAAGGTAGCATCTTTAAGAAGAAGGTTAGTTAAGGGTTTTGAAATTTTTGAGAAATCTTTGATGAAACGCCGATAGAAACCGGCATGTCCCAAGAAACTTCTTACTCCCCTAACCGACGTTGGTGGAGGCAATTTTTCAATGACTTCCACTTTTGATCGATCAACCTCAATTCCACGCTCAGACACCTTGTGCCCTAAAACTATTCCATCCCTTACCATAAAGTGGCATTTCTCCCAGTTTAGGACTAAATTAACTTCTTCGCAACGCTGCAAAACTCGAGACAAGTTAGATAAACAACCATCAAAAGTAGTTCCATACACGGAGAAGTCATCCATAAACACGTCCATAATATCCTCTATAAAATCAGAGAAAATGGCCATCATACATCGTTGAAAAGTGGCGGGGGCATTGCAAAGACCAAAAGGCATGCGCCTATAAGCAAAGGTCCCATAGGGACAGGTAAAAGTGGTCTTTTCCTGGTCACTAGGATGGATAGGAATTTGGAAAAATCCCGAATAGCCATCTAAATAACAAAAATATGAATGCCTAGCCAACCTTTCCAACATCTGGTCTATAAAGGGAAGTGGAAAATGATCTTTTCGGGTTGCCTTGTTCAATTTCCTATAATCAATACACATCCTCCAACCCGTAACCGTCCTAGTAGGGATAAGTTCGTTATTTGCATTCTTAACTACGGTCACACCTCCCTTTTTAGGAACCACATGAACCGGGCTAACCCATTCACTATCAGAAATAGGATAGATTACCCCAGAATCTAGTAGCTTAAGCACTTCCTTTTTAACCACTTCTTTCATGTTAGGATTTAATCTACGTTGGTGTTCTATAGAGGGTTTATGATCATCTTCCAAGAGAATTCTATGCATGCAAATTGATGGATTAATTCCCTTAATGTCGTTCATGGTGTATCCTATGACCTTGCGATGCATCCTAAGTGTTCTAAGCAACTTATCAGTTTCATTTTCATTCAGACATGCATTCACAATCACAGGATAAGTAAAATCAGGGCCAAGAAATTCATACCTTAAAGAGGAAGGGAGGGGTTTTAATTCTACCTTTGGTGCATTATCCTCTTCACAAATAGAACCTTTTGGCTCTAGCATCAATCTTTCAAGCTTTGCATTTCGAAGTGGAGCAGCTGATGTTGATTCTAAAGATTGAGCATACGCGGCTACCTCGGGGTCTTCATCATTTATTGAACCATCACTTACCAAACATTTCTCAAGTGGATCAGCTGAGTTATTGTTTGCAATTTGCTCATGTGTACACTTGTCAATGACGTCGACCCTGTAACAAATTTTATCAGTTAGAGGGAGTTTCATAGTATTACTTAAATCAAATTCTACCGTCTCCCCTCCAATATTTAGAGAGAGCCTTCCATTTTTAACATCGATTATAGCACCTGCAGTAGCAAGGAAGGGTCTTCCTAAAATAATTGGAATGTTAGAATCTTCTTCTATTTCCAAGATAACGAAATCGACCGGGATAAAGAACTTACCGACCTGGATAGGTACATCTTCAAGTATACCTACCGGATATTTTACCGATCGATCCGCCAGTTGGAGTGATATCGTGGTTGGCTTCAAATCTCCTATGCCAAGCTTCTTATAGATGGACATTGGCATCAAACTTACGCTTGCACCTAAATCACACAAAGCACGGTTAATAGAGACATTACCAATAACACAAGGAATAGAAAATGAACCTGGATCCTTAAGCTTAGGAGGCAGCTTATTCTGGATGATAGCACTACACTCCTCAGTAAGGGCCACAGTCTCGTATTCTTCCAACTTCCTTTTATTGGATAGGATCTCTTTCAAGAACTTAGCATATGAAGGCATTTGAGAGATAGCTTCAGTGAACGGGATATTGATGTGCAATTTTTTTAAAATCTCCAAGAATTTTCCGAACTGCTTTTCTAACTTAGCCTTAGCTAACCTTTGGGGAAATGGTAGAGGAGGCTTGTAAGGAGCGGGGGCCACATATTTTTCAACTTTTTCTTCTTCTTGCGTTTGGGTCTCATTATCCACATCTATCACATTTTCATTTTTTTCTTCATGATGACCATCCACCCCATCATTTTCCTTCATCTTGGGTCCCTCATATTGTTTTCCACTTCTAAGAGTTATAGCATTCACATGACTCCTGGGATTTGTCTCGGGTTGTCCAGGTAGCATGCCTGAAGGCCTAGAGGAAGAGCTAACATTTTGTGCCAATTGGGTGATTTGTGTCTCTAACATCTTGTTATGCGTAGCTAGGGAATCCATCTTAGAGGCCAATTGTTTCACCACCTCATTCGTGGTTTGTTGTTGCTGCTTAAACTCTTCATTCAATTTTGATTGAGTCGTCACAAACTTCTCCATCATATTTTCCAAATTTGACTTTTGAGAAGGGAAATTGGATTGAGGAGCACGAAAACCAGGTGGACCAAAATTAGATGCAGGCATGGGATTTCCAGGTGGGTTTCTATAAGAAAAATTAGGATGATTCCTCCACCCCGGATTATAAGTATTGGAGAATGGGTCTCCCTTCTGATTAAAGTTATTAACATAGTTAACTTGCTCATTACCAGAAGTATCAATGGATGGGGGGTTTCCTAATTGACATTGAAGTGCAGAATGACCCACATAGCCACATATCTCACATGAAATTGAAGTAGACGCCACAGAATTAATACTCAAACCTTCAACTTTCTTAAATAAAGCATCAACTTTAGAGGATATATGGTCTAAAGCATCTATTTCATACTTGCCTCCTTTTGATGTCTGAGGAGCACGCTCGTTCGCCCATTGATAGTGATTCTGAGCCATGTCTTCAATGAGAGTGTATGCCTCGTCTATTGTTTTGTTCATCAAAGCTCCTCCTGCAGCAGCATCAACAGTCATCCGTGTGTTGTAAGTGAGCCCATTGTAGAAGGTGTGAACAATTAACCACTTTTCCAGTCCATGGTGAGGGCACATCCTCAATAATTCCTTGTAGCGTTCCCAAGCTTCATAAAGTGACTCTCCTTCCTTCTGTACAAAGCTTGTGATCTGGTTCCTCATCTGTGCTGTTTTACTTGGAGGAAAATACTTTGCAAGAAACGCTCTGGACAATTGATCCCAAGTGGTGATGGACCCAGCTGGCAATGAGTGCAACCAAGCCCTAGCCTTGTCCCTTAGAGAGAACAGAAATAATCTGAGTCGAATAGCATCATTGGTCACTCCATTAAGTTTCAAAGTGTCGCAATACTCCAGGAAAATCGATAGGTGGAGGTTCAGGTCTTCTGTAGCACCTCCTCCAAACTGATTCTGCTAAACCATTGAGAGCAGTGATGCATGGTTTCAGCTCAAAGTTATTAGCTTCAACATTGGGCCTTGTAATGCTTGACTGTGTGCCTTGAGCATTTGGGGCTGCGAAATCCTTAAGAAGCTGATTTTGATCTCCCATCGTAGCTTGTTCTGTGTTCCTTTGCTCCCTTATAGACCTTCAATATAATGAAGAGCCAGGATTGGGTTTTCACCACAACTTCGATGCTCAATGATGAATTATTTTAGTTCTCGGTGTTGGTTTAAACTAAAGAGGGTGAATTAGCCTAAATTAATCTAAAGCCTCTTTCAAGGTCTAAAGATCGTGCCTAATCAATCTCAATTAACCTACTTTCGTGGAATCAAGATTAAATTAAACCCATTAAGCTTTATGCTAATCCAAATCAAATCCCCAAGGAATCTAGCCTACTTTCGTGGTTCGAGCTCCCTGCTTAATTTCTAGAGATCCGGTATTAATCTTCACCTTTCAGTCCTTCAATTAATTACCTATGATTGCTAATACGGTGATCAAGCGAATCAACAAAATTAAAACACTAGAAATCAAGTTCAAAGATTTAAACTTTCACCAAGAACCTATATCAATTCATCATCAATCACCAAAAAGTTGGGTTCTTTCCCAACCCTAGACAAGAAATCTACTCACACATGATTGGAATAAGAGAAGACATCAAATAATTATGCAAATCAATCATAAGAAGAAATAAATCAAAGAGAGGAAAGAATTAACCCGTCTTTCAATTGAAATCTTCAAAATAAGAACTTGCAATCCAATCTTCTACAAGAGATTAATGTCTTCCTTCAATACTTGAACCCTAGAATAGTTGCTAGTTGATGGCTAAAAGAACATAACAAAAGATATAAAAAACCCTAAGTCAAAACATCTATTTATATGTCTCCAAAAATCTGGAAAATAACTAATTTCCGCGTCACCGGTGTGGTCTGCACCACACCAGGGTGTGGTAGGGGCTGTTTTGCTGATTTTGTGCTTGTTTCTTCAGTTTTCGGTATTTTGGCTATAACTTTTGCGTCCGACCTCGGAATGAGGTGATTCAAGTTGCATTGTAATCCTGTTGAAGAGATCTACAACTTTCATCTTTTGAGTTTTCTTGATTCGAACTGCATCATGATCGAAATTCCAGTTCTTCATATTCGTGCATCTATTTTCTTCACGATCCATGTCTTCGAAATCTTGTTGTTGCTTCAAACTCTTGTAAAACTTCCAACGATCATCAAATCTTTCAATCTTGAGCCAATACCTACATATAAGAACACAAACCACAGCAGTATCCTCGATCTAAACACGAAATATGTATTAAACACTCGTAAATCATGCTTAAAACACACTAAGATAATGCATATTTTACGTGTTTATCATGGTCGGGGTTGAGAACCCTGACCATTTCATGCACGTTGTGCACTAAATAGTCGGGTTTCCCAAACCCCTACCATTAGGGGGTGTCCCACCGAGGTGGGCTCTGTCAAACGGTCGGGTTTGGGAATCCCGATAAAATTAGTCGGGGTTTGCAACCCCGACTTATTTAGCCACCTAACCCCGCATCTCACTCTGGGATACTCTTAATTAGTCGAGGTTAGCAACCTTGACTAATTAGGAAGCCAATTCTTTTTGAATCGACCTAGTTTTTGGCCACGATGCTGACGTGGCCAGAAACTGGGTTGATTTTTGGAATTAAAAGTGGAGTGGGTAGATTTTTGAAAAAAATTTATTTTGGGGCTATTTTGAAATTTTCCTCAACTAAGATGCATCTTTTTCTGATGCAAGGAGGAGATTACTGGAGATTTCATGCCCGTTACAGCAAAAAAATTGTGTTGAATTTTAAGTTGAGGATGGTTCTCATAACGAGTTAAAGGTTACATTTCCTTTTGGTAACCGCAAAATGTCATTATTTTGTAGTTTTATCATATGCTTTGAAATCCACGACAGTGACATGTACTCTGCATTTGCATTATCTATTTGATTCTACATAAAGTTGTTGTAGTTTTGAGTTGAGGCATGTAAAAATTTGCGTTGGATCATTTAATGATCCATACAACTGCATTATTGATGCTTATATTTAGTAGGAAGATGGACGTATCTTTCTTACACACGTTGTTGGTGAAAGTGTTTACACGCTTTCGCTGATTATTGCTCATGAACACCAGACTGCTCTGAAGATAGCGGGGTGGGTTATAAATATAAATCTCAATTAATGCTTCTAAGTGTAGGCGTTAAAATTTGCGTTAAAAATTACCTATGGGTTCCCACACGCAGCTCAAGATAGAAAAAAGATGATAAATATTATTATTTGAGTCAAGAAGGATTATCTGACGTCGACAAGTGAATGAAGCAAGTCGACAAAGCGTATGAACCAACGAGACGACAGAATGACGAAGAAATGATCCGATCGGAAATTACGTTTCACTTATGAAAGATGAAGTGCCACTCGTGTATTGTCTACTCCACATACGATTCACTTATGGGAGGTTGTAGATCTCATCTCTGGCTTTCTGATGCACTTTGAATCACCTCATTCTGAGATCGGATGAGAGAGTTAGAATCAAAACACTTGAGACAGTCCAGACTGTTTCGCACCTGCGAGATACTAATTGTGTCTCGCACATTTTGGCTATGATACGATTTGAATCTGAAGAATCTCAAAAGATAAAAGTTGTAGGTATCTTTGTCATATTTTCAATGCATCTTTAATAATCTCATTCTGAGGTAGGACGAAAGAGTTAAGACCAAAATACCCGATATAGTCCAAGTTGTCTCAGACATGTGCAAAAGGACGGTGAGTCAGTTGACAGTTTTGTCAAACGCTTCCGCAACAAGGTAATGAATTGTAGGGTTCCTGTCAGAGAGGAGTTCATCTTGCAGATGTGCTACAATAATCTCTCTATCAATGTCCTCGAAGTCATGGGGGTTGTCCTCTCAACTACCTAGAAGAAATTAAAACTACGTGGAGAACAGGTCGAGCGTTTCCTCAAAAGAAAGAAGCTCGAGAGGGGCCAACCGACGACTAAAGTACCTGCAGTTGCTGACGATATTCATCAACAGCCACCTTGGTGGCAATAAGGGACTCTTAATCCGAAGTTCCAGGAGGAGTATTCTTTCGAAGATGATGAAGTTCCAACCATCTTCAAATACCTCCTCGCCAACAATAAGATCAAACTACCACTGATAACAAATCAGGAGGAAGCAAATAAGATTTTGGATCCTAAGTACTGTGCATACTACAGGAGGGTCCATCACCCCTCCAAGACTTGTCTTATGCTGAAAACAGCATTCAAGCATTGGTTGATGTCGGCATCATAACGCTAAAAGAAGCCGAATGAGAATGGCTTCCTCCAACAGGTATATGAGGTTAAATTGCTCCCATCCTCCGACAGGTATATAAGGTTAAACTGCTCTCATCCTCCGATAGGTATATGAAATTAAACTACTCTCATCCTCTGATAGGTATATGAGTTTAAATTGCTCCCATCCTCTGATGAGTATAAGAGGTTAGACTACTTCTCTGTGATACTCCAATGGGTATACGAGTATAAACCGCTTCCCTTATTTCCAGCGGAAAGTTCTTGGAGAATATTATACATAATATTCTTAAGGATAACTCGAGATCAAAGGTTTTTTCAAGTCTACGCCCAATACACGTTGTCGGGTAGCCTATTCCCATAACAATGAGGAAGTCTATGTATTCAATATCATAGCACTAAGTCTAAGAGAGTTAACTCTTTTAGCACAATATTACATGCAGAACAGACTTAAACAATCTGCATGCTAGCCCGACTCAAACGGTAGTCGGTAAAGGCTTATCAAATCCGTTTATGACTGAGGATTTATCAAAAATCCTACAAGTCCGATAGTCATTGACGCACCAGCTTCATCAGTTGGTCTCGTGACTTGAGCACCCGAGGCAACACCAATTCAAGCCGAAGTGTCCATTAAGAATTTTGAAAGCATTTGCAATGATAGCCGTATCAGCTCCAAAAGCTGATCCTACAACCAAAACTCCCCTGTGGTTAAATAAATAACTAACGGGATGTAAGGGTAAAATCCATACCTGCATAAGAACCAAGCCTTAATAATTGGTCCTACAACCTCGATATTTATGTCGGGCAATACGTTGTAATGAAAGTCAATACCGATTAACATGTGGTAATGAAGGTCAATACTGGTCAAAGCATTATGAGAAAAAGTCAACGCCAGTCAACACATTATGATGAATGTTAATGCGTCGACAATTTTTAGCCGAAACAAGACTCAGATCAATTTTAGGTTAAAGGATGATCCCAGGGAGTTCAATCGTAATTCAGATACGAATCCCCGACGAAGATAGTCAGTTCAACGTTGACTCAATAACACGAGCTAAGATCAGAAACCAATACACCAGTTTTAGTTCGAGGCTTCAACAACGGTCAAATGATAAACGCAGCACCCGCAGAATCTCAACTATTCGACAAAATACTGAATAGACTGAGAATTGAAGAAGTCAAGAACTGAAGCTAATTACAAGTCCTTTTACACTGATTGAAGGTGGGGCCTATCACATCCAAAGTATTTCAGGCTCTTTTATAAAAGAACCGAGTCTGAAACACTTTGGAGGGGATATCTGTAGGCGGTAAAAATTACCTATGGGTTCCCGCATATAGCTCGAGATAGAGAGAAGACGATAAATATTATTATCTGCGTCAATGAGGATTATCTGACATCGACAAATGAATGAAGCAAGTGGATAAAGCGTACGAACCAACGGGACGACAGAATGACGAAGAAACGATCCGATCGGGAATTACGTTTCACTCATGAAAGACAAAGTGCCAATCATGTATTGTCCACTCCACATATGATTCACTTATGGAGGTTTTAGATCTCATCTCCAGCTTTCGATGCACTTTGAATCACCTCATTTCCAAGGTCGGACGAGAGAGTTAGAGCCAAAACACTCGAGATGGTCCAGACTGTTTCGCACCTGCGAGAAACCAATTGTGTCTCGCACATTTTTTCCATGATACGATTCAAATATGAAGAATCTCAAAATATAAAAGTTGTAGGTATCTTTACCATATTTCCAACACATCTTTAATCATCTCATTCCGAGGTTGGACGAAAGAGTTGAGACC